GACTTGAGACTGGGACTTGAGACCGGGACTTGAGACCACGATCAGACCGTGAAACCAGGACAGTCCTGGTTCAGTCCTGGTTCAGTCCTGGTTCAGTCCTGGTTCAGTCTTGGTTCAGTCCGTTATCCGTTTTTTCCATTTTTCATTTAAATTCGATTAAAAATCGAAAACTGAAAAAACAAATCATTATCTGTTTTTTTAAATTTTGTTTTTGGAGAGAAATAATGAAGAAAATAGTTTTTTCATTTTCTTATTTTTGGTTTTATATTGAAAAACAAACGTACGAACGAATGATACACACAGCTTCATTTTGACTCACTACACTCTTTGGCAAAGTTTGGCCCAAAACAAAATTCCTACTGGACACTCGTTTTCCCGACGTCATCGCGCAGTGTGTGACGTAGAATAATGACGGAAATCTGCTCGGAAAGTCACGACTCTCAGCTTTACAAGGGACATAAAGTTTCTGTCTTTTATGGTTGGAAAGTTCTGCCCGGTTTTATAAGACATGATTCCAGGTGTTGTTTACGATACTGTTGATCTGGAAGGATTAAGGATGATAGTTTTACACAAATCAAGAAGCAATTTGTAAAGAAAAGTTGAAAAATATGTAAAAAAAAAAAAAAAAAAAAAGAATTAGAGGAACCTGAGTGTGTCCCAGTTTAGAATTTTGAAAATCTAGTCACTCTACACTAAGGATGTCCTGATCCTGATCACATTTTTTTGCCCCCGAGTCCGAGTCCTTTGATTTTGAGTATTTGCCGATACCGATTCCCAATCCGATACTTCTATAAGACATTATAAAATGAACTAAGAGCAAAGAATCAGATCCAGGATGTTTGGGGGATCAGATTGTGTTGATTTTATGTGTCGTATTTGGGCTGAACTTGTAAAAAATCAAATGTCCAAAACTTTAATTTTTTATTAACTTTTCTAACATTTCATCACCATTTTTGGAAATCTTGACTTTTACCACAGTCTCGTCTTGGAATGTGTAACTTATTAAACTTAATGAACTGGACAAAACAGGAACCAGACCAGAACCAGATCAGACCTGAGACTCGACTCTGCACAATCTACACTTTGTATATTTGACTTTATATGGAAGGATGTGTGTTATATTTGAAACATTTAGGCTCGTCTATGAAATCCAAATAAAACAAAATCTTACCAAATATGCGAGTTTCAGCTGACGTCATTGTTATTAAAAGCCCGCGTTGCTGCTGGGAAATATTTTGGTCAGAGGCAAGAAACACGGTAGCGTCAAACACAGTGCGTAACCTCGCGTATTTCTCCCCGATAATGGTAAATTCCTGCTGCATTATCGGATGCACAAATAGAAGCACGGAAGAAGGAAAATGTCTTTTTCGTATTCTGAGTGAAAAGAACCACTAACGGTGAATTAAACGACTTTCAAACATCCGCAGAGCAAACGTAGAAGATCCTAACAAACCGTGGACTCAACAAGTTCAACAACACATCCAGACTCTTGGAGGTTTTCATCTTTTCTGCTGTGAATGGCCCAGGAGTTTCACCAAGTCATTGTGGATATCGCCCAAGTGAATATTTGTCCAGGGAGTTGGAGATTCAGACCAGAAATTTGGTTTGGTCCACCTTTTGTCGGGGTTGAAAAGGGTGATTTGTCGTCCGTCGATGTTTATGACCAATTTCTGGTCAAATGGTCTTGGGTCCTCTGCCGTTAGAGTGGATAAATAACCGGGATCAATACCCTTTACGTGCTTTCTCGCTCCGTCCGTCATGTTGAATTAGTGTTTATTGCTGCTGACCAAAATAATTCCCAGCATGCAACGCGTGCTTTTGTCAACAATGAAACTCGCCTATAAAAATGAGATGACAGAAGCTCCACAGCCTCTCAGTCGCGCTAACTGGACGTCCCTGAACAAACCCTGCGCCTCAGAAAAACTGTTGAGTCCTGTGTGCGCTGTGTGTTATATATGTATGTGGGTCCGGTCAAGTGGTAACGGAGGGAAACAGGGGCAGATTTTTGACATTCAAATGTCTCTTATTCAGAAACTAGAGGAACTATTGAAATAAGTAAAGTATCAGAATGTAGGAAAGAGTTACACTCCAACAGGGTCAAGTTAAACCTGTGAGATTCTTTCAAGTTGTTGACAAAAAAATTTAAAAACTCATGTTGGTAACGGAGGGAATGAAATATGCAGCAGTTTTTGGGCAATAAATCCAAACAGTGATAACTCTTGGTTCTCACTTCCATATCCTTAACAAACTGGTTTGAATATTTGCTTCATATAGTTTTCTACCATATGGTACAAGATTAGGTTGAAAAACCTCTTACTTTTTGACTCATGAGATTTTTTATTAAGAAAGGTCATGGTAACGGAGGGAAAAGTAACGGAGGGAAAATTGTACAAACAAGTAGAAGGTGCAGGATTTTACATCATTTGTCACTTTTTTCTTACGAATACTTTAATATTACTTCAAAATGAAAGGAAACTATTTCTATAAAATCTGTCAGTCCTTCCAAGAACATTTTTATCATTTTAAATTTTTATTTTTTTTAAAATCCTGTCCCTTCATCAACAGTTCAAAGATGGAATAACACAAGATATGATGAAATACATCCATTTATTTACATGATTTGCAGGTCTTTGAAATTTGGGAAATAATTTTTGTTCCATGTTTCATACATGGTCTGTTTAAAACTTTAGAACCAAAAATGGTACAGAAAAAAGGTCAACAGTTTCATAAACTAGAGTACATATGTATCTGTTCAATACATTTTTATATCAGATGCATTAACTTGAATTTTTGGCCTTGTTGTTTACTTCTGCTTGACCGGGACCATATTATTTATCTGATTATTTACACATGACATCACAAGGTGGAACAATGTTTTCTGTTTGAGAGAAGTAGAAGCCTAAAAAATGCAGGGTTTGTGCGTTAAACATGTGTGAATGAAACAAAAAAACACAACTCCAAGTCTGTTTGTGATGAAGAAACGAGATTAGAACACGACTTAAATCTCGTAAAAGTCCTTTCTGTGTAATATACGACCTTTAACAAACCTACTTGAGACGGCTCCTGTGTCTTTACAAACTCACCTGTACGATCTTCTCCGGGGTGAACCTGCTCGTGCTGTAGTGACGGGAGATTATGTAAGAAACTGGGCCAAGTCACGGCTGCAGAGCTCACGGCGTCTGAGCTGCGCCCGGAGCCGCGCAGAGACCTGGGTTTTTCCGTCTTGGGTTTCAGACTCTGAAATGTGACCGAGCGGACGGAGCGTGGAGGAGACGGTCTGACAAACCAGAGGACGGATACACAACACAGACTTATGACACGTTTACAGGGTGTTTGTTGTAAATAAAATGTTAAAGAGTGTGTGAGATTGTTCGTTCTCGTGTCAGAATCTGAGGAGCTTCTGTCTCTGTGTTTTTTTGTTTTTTGTTCATTCACAAACACGGATTTCTGTATTTTGGCAAAACAAACGACAATTTATGCTCCTGCTAGTTTAGACCTGGTGTAGTTCTGGTTTAGTCTTAGTTTAGTCCTGGTTTAGTTTATGCTTAGTCCTGGTTTAGACCTAGTTTAGTTGTGGGTTTAGACCTGATTTAGTCCTGATTTAGTCCTGGTTTAGTCCAGGTTTAGTCCTGGTTTAGTCCTGGTTTAGACCTGATTTAGTCCTGATTTAGTCCTGGTTTAGTCCAGGTTTAGTCCTGGTTTAGTCCTGGTTTAGTCCTGGTTTAGTCCTGGTTTAGACCTGATTTAGTCCTGATTTAGTCCTGTTTAGTTTTAGTCCTTTTAGTCCTGGTTTAGTCCAGGTTTAGTCCTGGTTTAGTCCAGGTTTAGTCCTGGTTTAGTCCTGGTTTAGTCCTGGTTTAGGCCTGGTGTTTGTACTGTGTCCTGGAGTGCCCAGAAAGTTGTTGTTGTTGTTGATAATGTTGTTTTTAATGATGTTAATGTTGTCATCGTTAATGTTGTTGTCGTCGTTAATGTTGTCGTTAATGTTGTCGTCGTTAATGTTGTCGTTGTTAATGTTGTCGTCGTTAATGTTGTCGTCAATGTTGTCATCGTCGTCAATGTTGTTGTCGTCGTTAATGTTGTCGTCAATGTTGTCGTCGTCGTCAATGTTGTCATCGTCGTCAATGTTGTTGTCGTCGTTAATGTTGTTGTCGTCGTTAATGTTTGTCGTCGTCAATGTTGTTGTCGTCGTCAATGTTGTTGTCGTCGTTAATGTTGTTGTCGTCAATGTGTTGTCGTCGTCAATGTTGTTGTCGTCGTTAATGTTGTTGTCGTCGTTAATGTTGTTGTCGTCGTCGTTAATGTTGTTGTCGTCGTTAATGTTGTTGTCGTCGTTAATGTTGTCGTCGTTAATGTTGTCGTCAATGTTTGTTGTCGTCGTTAATGTTGTCGTTAATGTTGTCATCGTCGTCAATGTTGTTGTCGTCGTTAATGTTGTTGTCGTCGTTAATGTTGTTCGTCGTCAATGTTGTCATCGTCGTCAATGTTGTTGTCGTTAATGTCGTCGTTAATGTTGTCGTCGTCGTCAATGTTGTTGTCGTCGTTAATGTTGTTGTCGTCGTTAATGTTGTCGTCGTCGTTAATGTTGTCATCGTCGTCAATGTTGTTGTCGTCGTCAATGTTGTTGTCGTCGTTAATGTTGTTGTCCTTGTTAATGTTGTTGTTGTCGTTAATGTCGTCGTTAATGTTGTTGTTGTCGTCGTTAATGTTGTCATCGTCGTCAATGTTGTTGTCGTCAATGTTGTCGTCGTCGTTAATGTTGTCGTCGTTAATGTTGTCGTCGTTGTTAATGTTGTTGTCGTTGTTAATGTTGTTGTTGTCGTTGTCGTCGTTGTTGTTATTTTCTGTACTGGTCCCTTTAACAACTGCAGAATTGTCAATAATCAATGACAACCAACTAAATCTCTGGCCGTAACATCACAGTTCTCCACTTCTACAGAAATGTAAATGTAAAAAACGTTAAACCAGATTTTATTGATGGTTTTGTCTTTGTTTCGTAGGTTACAGGAGAGGAGGCGGAGCTCCGTGGTGGTCAGTTTACCGGGCCTGGACGTTTCACCGGGAGATCTGTTTGTATCAAACGGAGCAGCACATTTACTCAACGGTTCAACATTTTCAGGTGAAAAAAAGAGCCGTTTTATTTCTGTTACTGGACCAACATACATGTCATTATAATTCAAATAGACTTTTATTCTCCAGTGAGCAACCTTTTGCAAAATGAAAATATCAGGGAACTTCTCATTTTAACGACTGCAATGACCTGTGTAAATGTTAGAGCCGTGGCGAGTTTTAGTTGAGGAACAGTCTGATGCCTATAAAACAGAAAGTTATTTATTTATTAGCACATGAAATGATACATTTACTATGGTTATAGACATGGACAAATTTTAGTTGTTCAGCACAGCACATATAATTCCAAATCCCTTGGAAGGAGCTGGAGAGTTAATAACTCCAGAGCTACAGGTTGGAGCTCCCTGCTTTAGGATAATCCCAGTGTGTTTGAACATTTACACATTCACCAAACTGCCCTGAGGTGACGTCTTAGGTCGGGTGAGGTTAAGACACTTGATTGCCGCCGGAAGGAAATTTGTCTTCTGCATTTGACCCACTCTTTAAAGCTCTGGGGCAGCGGTGAGGAGCATCTGACCCACAGAGTCTGGGGTCCCACCTGCAGATGTTGTGCTGGTGTTGGTCTGGACTCCTTCAGACGGACGACTCTGCTTTTTGCTTTAACTTGGATGTCAAAATGTTCTCATGGTTTTCAGTTTCATGAGTGTTTATTTATTTAGCGTGTATATGACATAATATTAAAATAAAAAAGGCACACTAGAAAAAAAATTGGTGCAGGAAGAGGGCTTGTACAGTATTAAAGCCTCCACCTTCTGAATGCATTAAAACTGAACATTACAGCTGCGCAATACTTTTAAAAATGATATTTACACACCTTAGATTAAATAAATTTGATTTAAACATGGATTAAAATACAATTAAACGCCCCACAATTGAATGATTGTTGTATTGTGTGTCAGCAGTGTTGGGAAGGTTACTTTTAAAATGTAATCCCCTACAGATTACAGATTACACACCCCAAAATGTAGTTTGTAACATAATCCATTAAATTACTTAAAGTGAGTAACGTAATCTGATTACTTTGGATTACTTGATATTGTCATGTTTTTTTAAACGACATGAATGAAAATTCTTGTTTGTTTTCTTCAAATTGTCTGAGCCCAAGTCTCCATGAATAAACAACTGTTTACTGTAGAAACAAAGACCACGAGATCTGAACAGAAGAGGTTTTGTCTGTTAAAAGACAGAAACAAGATCAGACTTTCCTTCACCAGATTAAAAAATATTATTGATAGAGAAATGATTTTTTATATGAGATCACCTTAAATTATGTCAACCTACTGTTAGGTGTCGTGTTGTTTAGACCTGGTTTAGTTTGATGACGATGATGAAGTGTGTGTGTGTGTGTGTGTTGTGTGTGTGTGTTGTGTGTGTTGTGTGTGTGTTTGTGTGTGTGTTTGTGTTGTGTGTGTGTTGTGTGTTTGTGTGTGTGTGTATATGACAGTAGTGCAGATATTATGAGTCTATGCAGGTTGTTTTCACCGGTGCCAGTAGCTCCTGTTTCACATTTAAGTTGTAGGCGATTTTATATTTGTTTTTGTTTTTTATATATTTATCTCACATCGGGAGAAGAATTTCCAAGACACAAATGCGTTTTTACCAATGCACTGCTGCTTCCACTGTGTGACTGACACCGCCAACTTTAACATGACGTTTACATCTCTCTTACTGTCACGTTCTGTTTGAGTTTCCAGCAATGAGTGGAAATACCAAAATAAAAAAATTAATAAATGGGATGTAGCACAAAATGTGAAAACAGGAAAATACCGCCTTGTAATCCACTTATTTCAGCAAAGTAACTGTAATCCAATTACCACTCATTGAAACAGTAACTGTAACTGAATACAGTTACTCATAATTTGTACTCTGATTACATAACTCCGGTACATGTAATCTGTTACTCCACAACACTGTGTGTCAGGATCTGATTTTTTTAATGTTATAAAATTAAATTTGATACACTACAATGCCATTTAAACAATATAGCAATATAATATTTAGTTTTAATTGTGATGACAACGGTCCTAATTTTCTGTCATTCTGAAATCCGTAGACAATTCCGGGGCTGAAGTGATCCAACCGATCTTGATCTTGAGACCGGCCTTGAGATCGTTTTATTCGCGGTCTTAGTCTCGCCTCAGACTTAACCGCATCTTATCTTGGTCTGGACTGAGTTTGGTCTTGGTCTTGTCTCGGTCTTGAAGGTGTCTGGACTTGGTCTGGTTTTGGTCTTGAAGGCATTTGGACTTGTTCTTGTCTCGATCTCTACCGTGTTTGGACTTGGTCTTGCCACGGTCTCGAGTTCTGACACTTGACGAGTGATAAAATGGAGATAGATTTATAAAAACATTGACATATTTGTGCCAGAATAACTGTAAAATACAAATGAAATATTGAAAATTACAAAGATGGTCTTGATGTGGTCTCGGTCTTGTTTCGATCTCAGCCTTTATAAAATTCCATACACTACGAAACCATTCAAACAATATCAAATTTAGTTTTAATTGTGATGACAGCGGTGTTAATCTTCCATCATTCTGAAACCTGTAGATAAATTTACCAGGATGTGATTAACGACTTGAAGCATTTCACTGGAACAGATTCAAAATAAAAAAATAAAAGTTGCATTATAATCAAACGTATTTCTGTTTTGTCCCAGATTCTAAGAAGTTAAAGTGGCCCTTCTCACGGCGGAACACGGTGAGTCTGTGTGTGTTTGTGTGTGTGTGTGTGTTTGTGTGTGTCTGTGTGTGTGTGTGTGTGTGTGTGTATGTTTTTTTTATGTGTTTTTTTGTTCTGTTTTTCAGCTGTAGCTTGTTGGTTGTGGTGAAATTTAATTAAACTGTGGTCTTGGTTCTGGACTTTGTTCTCTGACCCACTTCCCAAAGCAGATTACATTTCTTCCTCTTGCCCCATTGGCCGTTTAGATTTGAGAATTAACAAAAAGCTGAACAAGAACTGCAGCGCTTTTAAAGGAAGTACCGGCATTGTTAAAAATCTACAATTGTGAATGTTTTTTTTTTTTTTTACCTCATACGTCAACAAACTTTTGTCTTTAATCTGTGTATTATACTTTAACATATCGTTTTGATGTATTTTGTGAACATCTGCATCAGTGTGAACGCTTAGGCTGCGTTCAGTCTGCAGCCTGAAGTGACCCAAATCAGATTTTTTGTCTCTATGTTCCTGTATCTGATCTTTTAATGACAGTCTGAACGACACAGATCCGATTTTTTTCAAATGTGACCCAGGACACTTGGATCTGTGCTCCTGAAACTGATACATATCTGATCTTTTGACATGTGACTTCAGTGTGAACGGCCAAAGTGCATTCATCCACCTACACGTTATCAACAAGACACAAATGTACACAAACGTTCTTCTCCTCAAACGAAAATTGTTAATGAACTCCTTGTGACTGAAACACATCTCCACTCACCACTCTTGGCTCCGTCTCCACATCCACATGTTCCTTTCAAAGGACTGAACCACAAAACACCACGACCAAAAACCTCGTCCTTCTCCTTCTCAATCTCCTCCTTAAAACAAGTCAGTTGTTCATGTTGTGGCTCCGGTACGAGAGGAACTTTAAAATCTCCAGGTGCTCGATGCTGCGTCCATGTTTGGACAACTTGTGTAAACACAGAGACGCTCGCTGCGGTTGACGTCGTCGTGTCTCCAGTGTCACATGTGGGACACTTTTGGACCGTTTAATGTTCACACTGGAGTCACATACAAGTCACATTTAACTGGAAATGTGAACGACCTCGAAAAAACATCAGAATTGAGCGTTAAGCCCTGCAGTCTGAACTAGGGATGGGCATGATTAATCGATAATTGATCATTAAGAATTTCATCGATTACGTTCATTTTAATCGACAAACCGAATGTATGTTTGTGTGTCGTGACCAAACAGGTGTGTACATGTGTCTCTGCATCAGAAGGAGCGAGACACAAACAGTGGGTCAGTCTGTAACGAACCGAAGCACAAATGTGGATTTAACCAGGATTTGTAGAAGAAATTCCACACTTTCCGTTGCGTTGGGACAAGTGTGAGTCCATGTGCACAGTGGATAAAGCAGCACATATGTTTCTGTGTCCAGTGGGAAAAAGTTTTTCCAGGTGAGAGTCGCTCAATGTGGATGACGAGGCCCCGCCCCCCTCCCCCCGTACGCTGTCCTGGTTTTGACAAACACAAATCTGGTCACACTGACCTGTATTCACCTGAGTCATGTCTTTTAATCCAACACAAGTTGAACCACATCAGCGACACAAGAGCTGGAGTTTTATCTTCACTTAGTTTATGTAAATTAGTGATGTGGTTTTAAGTTTTGTTTCTGTGAGATTTGAACAAAACTGAATTAAACACATTATAATGTCAAACAGCTGATGTGGATCTAGAGTCGTTATGTTTATATGTCGTAAAGTTGAATTTATTTATGCAGATTAGTGCAGATAGTAATAATAATGATGATCATTTTAATATAAAAACATTAATGATTAATCGATAATTGATCGTTAATTCTTCCGATGATCGATTAAGGAAATATCATCGAATGCCCGTCCCTAGTCTGAACGTAGCCTTATATCAGAGTTTATGTGTTATATTAAAGCTGTAGTGTGTAACTTTTTGGTTGGGGACCTGCTTGTTTCAATGGAGATGTCACTGCTCAGCCTGGAATGTTCCGCAGTGTGACATTAAACAGCTTTACTTTACATTTAATCAGTTACAGGTGGGTTTAAAGCTCAAAAATACCTAGAAAAACAAACATTGTGACTGTGAGCTTGGTCGCCTCTCCACAGATCTGACCTGGAAAGAAAGCTTTAATGCCAGTGCCATTCTGTGAAAAAGCATTTGACGCACCTTCCACCAGAAAAGTTACACAGTGCACTTTTACTAACTTGACATTCCAGGCGTGTGTGTGTTTTACCTACGACCGGGATTTGACCCTTGACCTTTGTGTTTCCAGTCTAAAGGGAAGTTGCAGATCGGCACGGCGTCGGATGTGGAGAAGTGTCTTTCAACGGCGCAGATTCAAGACTGGAGGAACCCGGATTTACAAGGTGTGTGAAGTATTTTAAATATCCTGTATTACACAAACTGACTCTCGTGAGGTTTAAGTCGTGTTCTAATGTTGTTCTTTACTCAAAATCAGACCTGGACTTGTGTTTTGTTTCATTCACATGTTTGAGTAACTCTTTATTATGAGTCTGTCTACATCTGCAAAGCTCAAAACGCTCTGCTCCACCTTGTGATGTCATATGGAGGTAGTTTTCAAGTTTACGTCTCCCTTTTTATCTTTAGTTCAGCGGTGATTGACGATTCTAGGACTGAAATGATCCAAATGATTCTAGTGAAGGTGTGTGCAGTTTAAAAACCCAGACCATTTTTTTGCGGACTTAGTCTCGCCGCGTCTTGTCTTGGTCTTGAAGGCGTTTGGACTCAGTCTTGTCTCGGACTCGGCCGCGTTTGGACTCAGTCTTGTCTCGGACTCGGCCGTGTTTGGACTCAGGCTTGTCTCGGACTCGGTCTTGTCTCGGACTCGGCCGTGTTTGGACTCGGTCTTGTCTCGGACTCGGCCGTGTTTGGACTCAGTCTTGTCTCGGACTCGGCCGTGTTTGGACTGGACTCGGTCTTGTCTCGGACTCGGTCTTGTCTCGGACTCGGTCTTGTCTCGGACTCGGCCGTGTTTGGACTCGGCCGCGTTTGGACTCGGTCTCGTCTCGGACTCGGCCGCGTTTGGACTCGGTCTCGTCTCGGACTCGGCCGCGTTTGGACTCGGTCTCGTCTCGGACTCGGCCGCGTTTGGACTCGGTCTCGTCTCGGACTCGGCCGCGTTTGGACTCGGTCTTGTCTCGGTCTTGAGGTCTGACTCTCGACAAGTGATAAAATGAAGATAGATTTATAAAAACATTGATATATTTGTGCCAAAATATCTGTAAAATACAAATGAAATGTCAATAATTTCAAACATGGTCTTGATTTGGTCTCAATGGGCTGTGGTCTTGATCTCTGCCTTCAAAAGTCCTGGTCTTGTGTGAGTCTCGACCCTCAGACGTCTCAGGCAGGTCTTGGTCTAGTAAGTCTTTATTTATTTCTATAGAGCTTTTCACAGACATTTTTGTCACAAAGACGCTTTACAGAGCTTTATTCAGCATTATTCACTCTACACCTGGTGATGGTGAACTTCTGTTGTAGCCACAGCTGCTCTGGGGCAGACTGACAGAAGCGTGGCTGCCAATCGGCGCCATCAGTCCCTCCGACCACCACCATCGCTCATGCACACACACCGCTTTCATACTACTCAGTGTGGGTGAAGTGTCTTGCCTAAGGACACTGTCACGGGTTCGTCCGAAATAAATGTAAAAAATGATGACTCAGTCGAAAAACTTCACTCAAGTGAGTTTTTATTCACACCACAGCTCCAAGTGCAGAGTGGAATATTTACAGTGACAAAATGAGGTGGAGAAGTGTACAACAATATGTACAATAATCACAGTTACAGCTGCCAGCCCCACGTGGTCAGGCCAAATACAAACTCCCAAATGACCGGAGCTCCGTCCTTTTATACCCCCTTAGCCCCTCCCCCCGGGCTAACCAATTAACGAAAATGGGGTTTTAAGGAATTAACATAAGCAAAACTGTATTGAGGAACACAAATCAACTTGGAAATAAACATAATAAAAATAACTTAAAGAACCCCTCATAAGGTTAACAGAAGTTCCATTAAACAACTTCAAAAACCCACAAATGACCCCAAATAGACACAATGGTTGAGTCCACGATCACATGTCCCCCTTGAGCGCCACTATGCGCTATTTAAAGCACAACCAGGAAGTGCCTCGGTTTGGCCCCGAACCCAAGAACTGGAGGCTGCTGCAGGTAGAAGTGCGGTGTCGTCGTATAGTGTGCACCTCGAACGCACGAGCCGGGAAACCGTTCAGATGTTGGGGAAAAACAGGACGGCGAGACACACGCGCGGTCCTGTGTAAAACGAGGAGGGAAGGAAGCGTCGCGCTCTTTGGCCAGATGCAGACGCGCCAGTCGGGAGATGACGCGGCAACACAGGCGCTTTTCCCAGTGTCTCCATCCAAGTCCAGACCAGGTCCGGCCCTGCTGAGCTTCTGAGATCTGACGGGATCAGACTTTTACAAGCCAGTATGGCCACGCCTCCATTAGTCTTGCCTACAACACTAACCACATGACATCACAAGGTGGAACAGAGTGTTTTCTGTTTGATAGAAAAGCTTAAATATGTATAAATGTGTTTGTTAAAAATGTGTGAATGAAACAAACCGATTTAAACAGTCCAGGTTTGTTTGTGACGAGGATCAGAGATCAGAGAAGAGTCTAATATTGTCGTTTAAATCCGTATTGGCTCAGGCTTTAGCGCTGTGTTTGGAGAGCTAACGGCCCGAGTCTTTATCCAAATAAAAGAGTTTGAAGAGAAGTGACTCAAATGACAAATGACAGAAACATGTTTAACCAGAACCAGAAAGTCCAGGTCTCCACACGTATAAAAACAGTCGAGTGGTTTTAGTCTCTGTACAAATCTGCGAGGAACAAAAGTGTTTATTTTAGCCGCTCACGTCAGAACATTTAAAAGAAGTGATTTAAGACGCACAGAAATGTTCACAGGTTATTAATGGAACAGTGTGCGACGTTAACACTGTTTTACGTTTAGATGTTCTTGGTTTGTCCGGAATGTTCCACAGTTTGGTTGTTGGTGATTTCTAGGAGGATTGTGTAAGTGCAGTGTTGGGAGTGTTACTTTTAAAATTGTAATCCCCTACAGATTACAGATTACACACACCAAAATGTAGTTTGTAATGGAATCCATTAAATTACTTTAGGTGAGTAATGTAATCTGATTACTTTGGATTACTTGATTTGCTGTAGAGAAACAAAGACGAGGAAATCTTCACATAAGAAGTTTTGTCTGCGAAAAAGAAAATAAAAAGTCCAGATTTTTACTGAACCAAATTAAAAATATTATTGATAGAAGAAGAAACACGTCCACACAGCAGGATTTAGTCCTGGTTTAATCCTGGTTTAGAACTGGTTTAGAACTGGTTTAGATCTAGGTTAGTCCTGGTTTAGTCCTGGTTTAGCCCTTGGTTTAGTTCTGGTTTAGAACTGGTTTAGTCCCGGTTTTAGACCTGGTTTTAGTCCTGGTTTAGATCTGGTTTAGATCTAGTTTAGACCTGGTTTAGACCTGGTTTTAGACCTGGTTTTAGACCTGGTTTTAGACCTGGTTTAGTCCTGGTTTATTTTCCAGCAATGAGTGGAATTACAAAAAAAAAAAAAAAAAAAAGGGGGATTTATTTCAAAATGTTAAAACAGTAAAATCCCTCTGTGTAATCCATTTATTTCAACAAAGTAACTGTAATCCAATTACCACTCACTGAAACAGTAACTGTAACTGAATACAGTTACTCATCATTTGTACATTGGTGTGTGAGTGTGTGTGTGTGTTTCCTTGTTGTAAAGCAAGTTGGTAAAACACTGAATAAAAACGAGACTATTTACTTTTACAAGAGTCGGTTTTGTTTAATACAGGACCTTTAAAACATAAAAAAAAACAGAACTAGTCATAAAAAAGCAGAATTACGAAACATAAACACATAAAATCATCCTAATTATTCACCAGGATGAGTTTATAACGTCTCTTTACGACTTTGGGCCAGAGAAGAAGAACACGACTTAAACCTCAGAGTTCATTTCGTGTAATCTGCTGTATGACCTTTAATTCTGAACTGTTTTTTGTTTGTTTTGTTTTCCTTGGTGATTCCAGGATTATTCCGTGGTGGAGTTCTTACGGGACCAGTCTCTCCAGGTGAGCCCCGCCCCCGACGCCCCTGACCCCCACGCCGCCCACGCCGCCCACGCCGCCCACGCCGCCCACGCCGCCCACGCCGCCCACGCCGCCCACGCCTACAAGAGGCAGGAGGCCGTGTGGGAGCTCTTCACCAGCGAGTGCGTCTACTTCCTCGATCAGCTCATGGTCCTGAAGGAGGCGAGTATCTCACGTTCGACACCGCAGCGTCATTTTACGGGCACCGTCCAGAGGGTCCGTCCGCGGAGATGTCACTGCTCACCCTGGAATGTTCCGCAGTGTGACTTTAAACTGCTCCACTTCACATTTATTCAGTTACAGGTGGATTTAAAACTCAAAAATACCAAGAAAAACAGACATTCTGACTGTGAGCGGCGTCGCCTCTCCACAGATCTGACCTGGAACTTAGTCTGGTTTGGGCTCTGTGAAGTCCGAAAGGTTTAAAGCCATACTGCGGAAAATTCCAGACATCTCCATGGAGAAAGGTTACACAGTGCAGCTTTAAAGGGCTCATATTACACTGTTTTCTGATTTGTTCTAATGTCGTTTCCTCGTCACAATCGGACCTGGAGTTGTGTTTTGTTTCATTCACGTTTAACACAAACCCTGCAGATTTAACAGGAGTTCTACACTCTGTTCCACCTTGTGATGTCATGTGGTAATACAGGAAGTGCTCCACTGTGTTTTTAAACTCCGTACAGGGCCGTTGTTTGCCGTTTGAGTGTCCTAAGCACAAAAGCTTTGCGGTGTCGCCCCACCCGAAATGAACAATAATTCAGAATTTATCAGAGAGATTTGCTTCTTTTCCAAAACAAATACACCAAACCTGAAAGTTAACATAATAAATTATTTAAAAAGGTGAATAAATAAAGAAAATAAATAAATGGCACCAGCGTTATTATAAACAAAGATTTGTGCAATGACTGAACATTGAACTGAACACTGTAAACACAGAACAAGTTCAGACACTCTTAAGTAATAATGTACAAATAGTTGCACAATAGAATTTACTCAATCAAGGAACTTTAAATAAGAATTTGAAAGTGAAAGAGTTTTCACGGAGAAATTATCTGCTGCACGTGTGGAGGTCCAGACATCGAGAGAGAAAATAAAGGAGGAAGAGAGAGAGAGATTTTGGAGCATTCTGTTGGCGCTGGCTCCAGTTTCTTATCCAGTCTGGCGCCACCTAGTGTCTCTGCTCAATTTCATTTCTCTCCAGCGACTAGAATCAGAAAACACTAGACGGTTTACAAAAACCCCAGAAGTTGTAGACGGCGCACCGACCAATCAGCTGTGACCTGTGAAGTCATGACGTCAAACTGACTCCGTCTGTCTGTGTCCCTTTTGTGGAACAACACGACAGTAAACAAATCGTCGAGATGGATGTAGACGAAGACAGACATTCTGTGTTGGCAACGATTCCCCAGATCCCCGAACAGAGAGAATGAAGAGGAAAGATGTTATTGTTGTTCTTCCTACAGGATTTGGAGCATTAGATACGTCACGACCAAACAACAGCGACTGATTAAATAAAAAAAGTCCCCGTCTACTGTCGAGCGAACGAATCCTAATGCTGCGAGGTCACACGGTTTCCACCAAGTGAAAAACAGCTTCTCGCCTCTCTTCACTTTGGAGGGACAGTTTTGGCGAGGAGAAAGTTCAGTTTGTCGACTGGACAAAAGTTAGTTTGGTTGAAGACGTTTCTCAGTTCATCCAAGCTGCTTCTTCGGTTCCGCAGCTTGGATGAGCTGAGGAACGTCTTCAACCAAACTAACTTTTGTCCAGTCGACAAACTGAACTTTCTCCTCGTCGTGGATTCTACCTGGACGACTGAGGGATTCTTCACACGTCTTGATGGACGGTTTTGCAAAGATTCACGATCCTGACGGCGATGGCACTGCACATTTAACACAGAAACCCTGCAGATTTCAAACAAAAAAAATCACTTGTGATGTCATTTGGTGATACAAGAAGTGCTCCACTGTGTTTTTAAACTCCACGCACCTTCACTAGAATCATTTGGATCATTTTTTCAGTCCTGGAGTTGCCCAGACTCTACTGAACTAAAGGTAAAAGGAGCTGTTCACTTGAAAACTACCACTTCATGACATCACAAGGTGGAACAGAGCATTTGGAGATGTAGACAGACTAATAACAAAGAGTTACACGAAACAAAACACAACTCCAGCTCTGTTTTTGAGGAGGTAAGAACATCAGAACACGATTTAAACCTCTCAAGAGTCTGTTTTACACGATATAAAAGCTTTAAAATGTAAAAATAGTAATAAAAAAGCAGAATTACCAAACATAAACACATAAAATCATCTTAATTATTCCCTGTGATGAGTTTATAATGTCTCTTTACGACCGTCTGACCGTCCGCCAGAGCGGAAGTCGGCCGTCACGATAATTAGAGCCTCAGCGAGCCTGCCAGCGGCGCTCTGGCATAGCTCCCTGATTCGCGGACAATAAAACACTTGAGAATTAATTGCGGACAGCTCACGGTCGACTTATTCTGACCTCAGGAGCGGCTTTAAATGCGTCTGTACTAGAGCGAAACTAATCTGACTGTTACATGGAAAAACACAATGCAACTCCTTTGGCAAAACAACACAAGAACGTACTTTAAAGCTGCACTGTTTCCGTTCTGTTTGTTCATTTATTTATTCATTTTCTGGTGTTTGGGATTGATTCCTTCCATTGGCGAAAACTTTGGGGCTTGTGTTTTGTAGTGATCTAACGATATTTAAATCCCTCGATACGATATTTTCACGCAACTCACAGTTCCATATTTATTGCGATATTTTGTGGAGGTTTACAAAATTGTGAATATGCTACTTTTTCCTTTTAAAAGCCTTGGAAAAAACTTGAAAAGCTGTCGGTTCTGTTTATAATATGAAGAATTACGATTTAAAATGTGCTTAAGAACAGTTATTTTTTCATGTCGTCCGCACTGAAACAGCAAAGGATCATGGTCTGTGTAGTTCCCTCTGTTTTTTTAGCTGAGGCAAAGCAAGAAAAGTTGGTAACACTTTATAATAACTACAACTTACTTAGCCTTAATAAAGCATGAACAAAGACTTAATTAATAATGAACAAACATTTAATTAATAATGATTCACGCTTAGTAAATGCTTAATAAAGCATAATTCGTCTTCACTTTAGAAAAACTCTCAAAAAGACTTAACTAACTAACAGATAACAGCTGCCTGAATGATCATTGCTTTGTATTATTAGTAAATCATTCTCTCATAGTTTACTAATCATTAATAAATGCTCAAATGGTTAGTTCATGAGTAATTAAGTATGAAATAATTATGAGTAACTATTTACAGCACAGGTGAATTAAGTGTAAGTGCTAATTAAGGTAGTAATTAAGTAGTTACTAAGTGTGAATCATTATTAATTCTTTGTTCATTATTAATTAAGCCTTTGTTCATGCTTTATTAAGGCTAATTAAGGTGTAGTTATTATAAAGTGTTACCGAAAAGTTTAATTGTACAGCACAATTCGTTATACAAAGTCACAAAAAGTGTTTTACAGAATCAGAAACACAATAAAATCACAAAGAAAGACTTAAAAAATCACCATAACTATAAATTTAAGCGAAGAGACTTTTAATTCCATATACTGTAATGGCCCACGATATTATTTTATGACTTCCGTCTCAGCAGATTTATACAAAACCAGTGATTTGTTCCAGTTTTAAACAAGAAGTGCCCCTATTTTTGACCAGTCTGATCCCCGCCAACAGTAAAGAGAGGCGTATATTGTCATTTGTTTAAGTAAAATACAAAAATTCTGCTTAAAAACGACCAAAACACAAAGAAAACGTCAATATGCTGACTTACATTTGGGCCGAGTGCAGAACGATTTTCCGTAATTACGACTCGTTTCACAATTTTATTATCACCAACCACCACAAACCAGAGATGTCCCAGTTTTTTATTCTGATAATCTGGTCTTTAAAAGGCTGGACTTAACCTGAACTATTGTGTAAATGTAAACTAAACCTTTTACCCTCAAGGGACAAACTCGTACGTCTTTCCGAACAAACAAAGATGCCCTGAACTTGAAATCCAGAACTTAAATTCCTGAGCTTCTATTGTTGTTGTTTTTGTTTTTGTTTTTAATATTACACTATTTTCTTTTCTAATGTAGTTTCCAGATTTCTTCACTTTGTTCTAAATCTCGTTCTTTGTGTGTGTGTGTGTGTGTTCAGGTGTTTTTGGCCACCCTGAAGAGTCTGCAGACGAGGAACTGTCTCACGGATGTGGATGTTTGGAGGCTCTTCGCGAACCTCAACGAGCTCTGTCTGGTGAGGAGTTCGCTCAAACCGTACAGATGGTTTGACGTTCGTGCTCCGGTTAAATTAGAATTCTGGAAACTGGGGGCAAAAAATAAACTGAGGGAGACTTTTCTGCAGAATGTGGTTTCTCATTAGACTTGGTTTAGACCTTTAATAGTCCTGGTTTAAACCTGGTTTAGTCCTGGTTTAGTCCTGGTTTAGACCTGGTATAGTCCTGTTATAGACCTGGTTTAAGTCAAGTTTAGACCTGAAATAGTCCTGTTTTAGACCCGGTTTAGACCCGGTTTAGACCCGGTTTAGACCTGGTTTAGACCTGTCATAGTACTGGTTTAAACCTGGTTATGACTTGGTTTAGACCTGGAATAGTCCTTTTTTAGACCTGGAATAGTCCTGGTTTAGACCTGGAATAGTCCTGGTTTAGACCTGGAATAGTCCTGGTTTAGACCTGGAATAGTCCTGGTTTAGACCTTGTTTAGACCTGGAATAGTCCTGGTATAGACCTGGCTTAGACCTGGTTCAGTTCTAAATTAGTGCTGCAAATTCAAAGAAAAGTTGATCACAATATTTTTAGCCAGTTCCAAAAAATAGCATTTTTTTTATTTGTCAGTTAGTTTAAAGACACATTATGTAACTTTTCTGGTGAAGGCTCCAGTAGCTGCTCGTTTCCGTGGAGATGTTTCCATGTTAAAGTTTTGTCTGAAAATGTCACAGTTTCACATAAACCTGATCTGGCTGAATGTTTAAAGTGACAGGAGAGTTTATGACTCCAAATACTTGGAAATATTTGAATTCTCAGCGTCAGAGGAATTTCTCTTCACACGAGTCGCCTCGGTGACACAAACACACCTCAGTCTGACTCTGACTCTGACTCTGACTCTGACTCTCTGCACTTTCACTCTCTGTTCTCTCTGTTCTCTGTTCTCATTAGTTCTGTTCCCTCTTCTTTCTCCAGGTGAGCTTCGGTTTCCTGAACAGCCTCTTTCGTGTCATCAAGGACACTCTGGCGATAAGTGAAGGGGGCGGGGCCACGCTTCTGCAGCTGCTCAGCAAAGTAAGTCTGACTCAACACGCTGCATTTTACACCTCGTCAGACGGGATCACAGGAAACCCTCAGAGGGTCTCCGCTGTGACGCCAGCACTTTGTCTTAGACTTGGTTTAGACCTGGAATAGTCAAATTCACTTCAATTCAATTCAAATTAAGTTTATTGTCAATTTTCATATAAAACATATGAAGAACTGAAATTGTATCTTCTAGATTAATAATAATAATAAAAGTCCAAGCGTTCTTCTTTGGGGAGACACAGATTCTTGCTTCCTGTTGCCGGGTGGTTTTAGAGGGGAGAGAGTTCAGCATCCTAACAGCCTGGTGGATGAAGATGTTAGTGAGTCTGGTGGTGTGGGAAACGAGGCTCCTGTAGCTCCTCCTGGAGGACAGGAGGCTGAACAGGTTGTGTGCGGGGTGACTTGTATCACTCACAGTTGTGATGTATATGCGGGTGAGGCACATGCCCACTTGAGTTTCCACAGGAAGTCGAGATGCTGCTGGGTTTTCTTCACCAGTGCTGCAGTGTTGGTCCAGATGTCCTCACTGATGTGTGCCTCAGGAGTTTAGTGCTGCTCACTCTCCACAGCAGCACCGTCGATGGTCAGTGGTGGGTGTTGGGTGTGTCCTCTCTGGAAGGATCTCATTAGTCTTGCTGATGTTCAGCCGGAGGTTTTTGTCTCTGCACCGTGTGGTTTTGTCACTACACTCTTTCCTGTAGTGACTACAAGAAAGAGTGTAGTGAGTCTCGTCGCCCTCGTGATGAGTTGTGTCGTCCGCCAACTTCACAAGATGGTTGGTGCTGTAGGTTGTTGTGCAGTCCTGTTATAGACCTGGTTTAGATTTGGTTTAGTCCTGTTATAGACCTGGTTTAGATTTGGTTTAGTCCTGTTATAGACCTGGTTTAGATTTGGTTTAGACCTGGAATAGACCTGGTTTAGATTTGGTTTAGACCTGGAATAGTCCTGTTATAGACCTGGTTTAGATCTTAGACTCTTCTTTACACAGTCTGACCTGGCATCTCGGCTCCAAAACCTTTACAGAATCCTCAGACCCTGCGAAGGGCTGAAGCAGATCCGCTGTGGGCCAAAGACGATCACTTTCAGAGACTTGTGTTCTTCAGTCATGCTTTTGTTTGCATGTTATTTGTTGAATAATCGGGGGTGTGTGTGTTTTTCTTTGACATACAAATAAATCGTGTACATTTGCTAATCTCATAAGTAACATCTGAACCTGGAATGTCTCGTGCCATTTGATAAATCTGAATCACAAAGGGACTCGAGGTTAAACAGTTATTATAAAAACGATAAAAATATTTGGTGAATGAGAAATTTGCTGGATTTATGGCTCTGCAACACCCACGTGAAACCACACGAGTATTGTCTGTGCACAATCACATAAGCCGAGCTCGAGCTGCACTTAAGGTTTAAAAGAAAGAAAATGATTAGAGAAAAGTATTCACTGCTGGCAGCAAATTCCGTCTAAATGATTGAAATGTACAGAATCACAGGCTGAATTTTTTTTTCCATTTTATTTATTGAATATAAACATACATACATGCAGATATAAGTCTGTGGGATGTTCTGTCTTTATTCATACTTTGCTGTGACGTCATGCTGGGGGTGTTCTGCGTGTATCTCTATAGACTTTTTTCACCTGACGGTCTACGTGGGCACGTCTCCGGCATTTCACCGCTGCTGATATCGCTGTGATTTTAGCGAATTTGTATGAAGAAAAACCCACCACTTCAATCCAGGTTAAAAAAGCATCTGTGACGCACGTTACTCACATTTGTACCAAGTAAAACATTACAATTTTTTTCCTTGTAATGCCTTAAATTACTGCATTACAGCAAAAAAAAACAATGCATTACAGTAATTCGTTACTTTTATAACGCTTTACTGGGGGTGTTCTGGATGTATCTCTTTGTAGAGGTTTGCACGGGACCTGCAAAGAATTGTAATTTTCATTGCTGCTCCCGCCTGCATCTGCGATATTTTGTCCCGCTCCCGCCCACAAATCCGGCAAGATGTGGACGTTCACTTTCTTAAGCTCTAAACACGGAGGCGGAAAGGAATTGTGTAAAATATGCGTGAGATTAGACCACGTCCTCAAGTTTAGTCTGTCAGTTTAAAATGTTTTTCCATCCATCCATCCATTTTCTTCCGCTTATCCGGGGTCGGGTCGCGGGGGCAACAGTCTGAGGAGGGCCTCCCAGACTTCCCTCTCCACACACACGTCCTCCAGCTCTTCCAGGGGGATCCCGAGACGTTCCCAGGCCAGCCCAGAGACATAGTCCCTCCAGCGTGTCCTGGGTCTTCCCCGGGGCCTCCTCCCGGTGGGACATGCCCGGAACATCTCCCGAGGGAGGCGTCCAGGAGGCATCAGAAACAGATGCCCGAGCCTCAACTGGCTCCTCTCAACGTGGAGGAGCAGTGGCTCTACTCCGAGCTCCTCCCATGTGACTGAGCTCCTCATTCTATCTCTAAGGGAGCGCCCAGCCACCCTGAGGAGGAAACCCATTTGTGACGCTTGTATCCGCGATCTCGTCCTTTCGGTCACTACCCAGAGCTCATGACCAGAGGTGAGAGTAGGAACGAAGACTGACCAGTAAATTGAGAGCTTCGCCTTTCGACTCAGCTCCTCTTCACCACCACGGTCCGATACAGCGACCGCATCACTGCCGACGCTGCACCTGTCCACCTGTCAATCTCACGCTCCATGCTCCCCTCACTCGAGAACAAGACCCCGAGATACTTGAACTCCTCCACTTGAGGCAGGGACCCTTTTTCCGGTCGTGAACCATGGCCTTGGATTTGGAGGAGCTGATCTTCATCCCAGCCGCTTCAGTGCACATTGCAGGTCCTGGTTTGATGAAGCCAACAGGACAACATCATCTGCAAACAGTAGAGATGAGATCCTGTGGTCCCCAAACTGGACCCCCTCTGACCCCTGGCTGCATTTTTTTAATGCCAAATAAAATCTCCAGCACAAATGATGTATGATACACAAACATGAATCATTTATATATTTTATTTTACACTCATATTTAGTTTGCGGGACTGAGGTTTATCATCCTGCCCGTCCGCTCTCGCCCGCTCCCGCAATGAGCTTTCAAAATGTGTCCCGTTCAAACCAGATTAAAGTCTAATTTGAGTTTCAGAGCCGTGCCTCCAGTTCAGCATCACACCCACAGGAAATGTTGACCGTATCAACACCACGGTCGGCGAGAATTCCAATTTATAACGTCCCGTGCTTTATTTTTGTATAACCGGCGAGACTTAATCACCGTCCTGTATCACTAGTATACACGAGCATCGCCATAGCAACAGATAAACACATGAACCGCTGTGAGGAGCGACGAGATTCAACGGAAACAGAAATAAACAAATCTCCGAACGTTCCACAGACAAAAGTGCACTATGTCACTTTTTGGTTCGGAGTCCGTCACCTGTAACTGTAACTCGGTCCGGTTTGGTCTCCGTGAAGATTGAAAGGTTTAATGCCATACTGCGGAACATTTTTATATCAGCGCTTTGTTCCCGGTTGTTTTGTTTTAAAAAGTGTGATCAGATACGAGTGATTCCAGCGTCGTGAAGCAGATCGAGACGAGATAAAGTGTTATATTTGTGCTGTTGAGAGGCGATGAGATGATTCACTGATTATACACAGATAACCTGAGAGTGTGTGTCTGTGTGTCTGTGTACGTGTGTGTGTGTGTGTCTCTGATCATGTGTTTAACCTGTGTGTGTGTCTCTGTGCAGGTGTTTGAGGAGAGCGTCTGTCACTGTCTTCAGAAGTACTGTCTGAACTACTCCACGGCTCTGCTCTACCTGGACAGCCTCAAACACAGAGACGACTTTGGCTCCTACGTGAAGGTACGGAGAGGGACCCGACACACAGTGTGTAAAGACGTGGGCTCGGGGAGTGTGACGTCTCCCACAGGGTTCGGCTCCAAATCACGAGGCTGATCATAATTTTACCTTACACTAATGCTCATTACAAACTCATCGAAGTCGTCATTATTCACTCCACAAACTGACTAAAGTGAGGCTGCCAGTCTGCACCATCGACCCCTTCATCCACCACCATCCCTCACACCACTCAGACCGGGTTTTCAAGCTGACGTCTCGGTGGCTGAGTAGCAGCAGTCGCACTTCAATCCGTGTATCATTCGTTCATTCGTTTTTCAATATAAAACCAAAAATAAGAAAACGAAAAAACAACAGTTTTCTTCGCTATTTGTCTCCAAAACCAAAATGAAAAAACGGATAACGATTCGTTTTTTCAGTTTTCGATTTTGTGTTTAAATGAAGAATGGAAAAAACGGATAACGGCCGTTTCCCGTTTACGTGACTTCTGTGACTGCGATGCCGAACTTTGCACCGGGTACGGACTGAACTAGGACTGATCCAGGTCCGAGACCAGACCGAGACTAGAGCGGGACCAGAGCGGGACCAGACCAGGACCAGAGCAGGACTGGGGCGGACTCCAAGCTTTGACTCTGAGCCTCCGCGGGGTCCAAGCCTCAGCTTCGAGCTCCGGCCCTGCCGTGGGCTCTGAGCCTCCGATCTGGTCTCGGTCTTGTCTCGGTCTTGTCTCTGTCTCAGGCCTGCTCTGGTCCTGGTCTGGTCCTGGTCTTGTCTCGGTCTCAGTCCCGCTCTGGTCCCGGTCTGGTCCCGGACCTGGTCCATTTGAACCAAAAGCTCTTAGTTCGGTTCGTTTTCGTTGGTGTGAAAGCGTCAGTTGGATGCTTTGCACCACCTTGGAACCAGCCGCGGTTCTGGAGCAGCCCGTCCGGACCTGTAGTCCACAGAACATTCTCACTTTCCCCGCACGGAACCAGCGCGGAGACGATGACACGGAACCGCTCGGACTGCTGGTCTCCGGTCTCAGTTCCGCTCTGATCCCGCTCTGGTCTCGGACCTGGATCCGTCCTGGATTCAGTCCGTATGCGGTGCAAAAGTTCGGCATCGCAGTCACGGAAGTCACTTAAACGGGAAACGGCCGTTATCCGTTTTTTTCCATTCTTCATTTAAACACAAAATCGAAAACTGAAAAAACGAATCATTATCCGTTTTTTCATTTTGGTTTTGGAGACAAATAGCGAAGAAAACTGTTGTTTTTTCGTTTTCTTATTTTTGGTTTTATATTGAAAAACGAATGAACGAATGATACACGGATTCACTTCACTGCAAGAAAGTTCCAGGTTCCATCCCCGGGTCACCTGAGTGGAGACACTGTGAGAGGTTTGCATGTTCTCCCCGTGTCCAGTTTCCCCCATCATCAACCCAAAACATGCACCAGAGGTAAAATCCTCCAGCTGAGGTCCTGATCAAGCCCAGCAACCACATCACGGAGCTGGGTCCCCGGGCCCCATGTGCTGCCCACTGCTCCTGAAAGGATGGGTCAAATGCAGAGGACAGTTTCCCTACAGGAATAATAAAGTACCACAAAAAAAAATATCATAAAATTAAATCCTGATCCCGTCAGATCTCAGAAGCTCAGCAGGGCCGGGCCTGGGCGGGACTTGGATGGGGGATGGGGCAAGACACTTCACCCACATTGCCTTGTGAAAGTGGTGTGTGTGTGTGTGTGTGAGTGATGATGGTGCAGATTGGCAGCCCTGCTTCTATCAGTCTGCCCCAGGACAGATGTGGCCACAGTTGTAGCTTACCACAACCAAGTGTGTAATGAATGAATAATGCTCTGTAAAAGCATTTTTGAGTGTCCGGAAAAGCGATATATAAAACTGATACTTTATTTTTAATTTTTATTTATTTTATTTTATTTTTATTTTATTTTATTTTATTTTATTTATTTTTTTATTTTATTTTTTTTTTTAAATTTTTATTTCTAAAGGAACTGATTTAAGGACAAAATAACAAAATAAAAACTCCAGGATCATGTAGAGCGAGTTAAGACGAACACTTAAGACCAAAATGACAAAGCTCACAGCAGCAGGTGCAGAGAGAGACAGTGGGGTGACAGTATTTTTCAATGTAAAGTCAACTGGAGCCAGAGTGGATGGATCCAGAGGCGTGCCCGTGCTCGCGTCCTGCCTGGATCGCGGCGGCTCGCACGTTCGCTCTGCTCTCTTACATAAACAGCGAGCGGAGGGAGCGCGGGACGACTCTGTGTGTACTCTGACAACACGACCAACGGCAAACAAACCCTCAGCGCCAACTCCAGGAATGTCCCGCCCGGGCACAGCGCGGCCTTCACCGGTGTCCATGATGGAGGTTACCTAGCAACCACAATGTAAACAAACGCCAGAACCAGTCTAATTTTCACACGAGTTATAATTAGACTAACGAAAACAAATGACACACCACCGAGGGAACATATCAGACTCATCACAAACAGAGCTGCAGTTTTGTTTCGTTTTGTTTTGAGTTCTTTTCTCAAAAAAAAAAAACACGACATACAGGATACAGGAAGTGTTCCACTGTGTTTTTTTTTATTATTCAAGTTTTTATTTTATTTTACAATTTTTACCATATAACATAACAGACAGCAGCACATTACTTTGGCCCGATGGAGTAAAACAACAATAAACAATTAAATAAAAATGTCAAAGTGCCTGTGACAAGCCTCCACACGTCTCTCATTTCCACTCAGTTTAACCTGTTACAAATACAATTAGTTTCAATTCTAAATAAAAAGGCCAAATCCATACCACATCCATAAAGTGCAAAAAACAAAGGCTGTGTTCAGACTGCACCTGAAGTGACCCAAATCCGATTTTTTGGCCTCTATGTTCCTGTATCTGATATTTTAATGTCAGTCTGAACCACACAGATCCGATTTTTTCAAATGTGACCCAGGACACTTGGATATTTGCTCCTGAAACTAATACATATCTGATCTTTTGACATGTGACTTCAGTCTGAACGGTCAAAGTGCATTCATCCTCCTACACGTTATCAACAAGACACAAACGTCACTATTCTGCACTGAAGTTGGCGAAAATTGTTAATGAACTCCATGTCACTGAAGTGAAGCACATCACCACTCACCACTCTTGGCTCCGTCTCCACATCCACACGTTCCTTTCAACGGACTGAACCACAAAACACCACGACCAAAAACCTCATCCTTCTCCTTCTCAATCTCCTCCTTAAAACAAGTCAGTTGTTCATGTTCTGGCTCCGGTACGAGAGGAACTTTAAAATCTCCAGGTGCTCGATGCTGCGTCCATGTTTGGACAACTTCTGTAAACACAGAGACGCTCGCTGCGGTTGACGTCGTCGTGTCTCCAGTGTCACATGTGGGACACTTTCGGGCCGTTTACTGTTCACACTGGAGTCTCAGACAAGTCGCATTTAATTGGAAATGTGAACGACCTCGCAAAAACATCGGATTTCACAAAAAAATCGGAATTGAGCATTAAACCCTGCAGTCTGAACGTAGCCAAAGATTTGTTTTCCCAATGCACCAATTTCAAATGTGTTTTAGTCAATGGATCAAACCTGTCCCAGGCATTTCAATCAAAAACAGGTGCCCAAGATTTTACAAAAATGTCCATGTATCATTCAACTGAGCCAATAATTTCTCATATGAGACTATTTTCATCAAATTGTCCATCCATCTATTAAAGTCTGGAGGAGAATGATCCTTCCGTTATTACCCCCACCTTTAAAACCACATACTCACATTTTGTTACCCCGGCAAAAAATAAGGAACGTTTCACAATTGTGGGTGTCATCCTTGCGCCAGGGGCCATGCTTCTCACCTTCTCTGTTCCACTGTGTTTTTAAACTCCGCACACCTTCACTAGAAACATTTGCATCATTTTGGTCCTGGGATTGCGGTGGTAGTGCATGTCATGGTGATTTTAAAGCGCTAAAGGGGGGAAGGGCGTTGAAGTCTATGACAGAAATGATCCTCCAGTGAAGACAATGAGCCGGGTTCATGTGATACGAGGTTTAGACCGAGCTCCAGGACACAGAACAGTTCTATGGGGGAATTTGCCGTGTAACTGTCGGGTATCAGATGTGTTGACCTGGTTTTTGGTTCATATCTCTGGAATTACTGGGACTATTGACATGAAATAAAAACTGGCTCCAAGTTCTAAACTAACTAAACACCAAAATCACTTTTTTCTCCTGATTTTCTGTGTAAATGTTTTTAAAATAGAAGTGTGTCTCTTCTCCAGGCCATATTTTGGTATTTTACTGTTAAAAATTTGACTTTTGGTTCAAACTCGTGTCTGTATCGGCCTCTTTAGGATCAACTACGGTCATGACTAGGGATGGGCATTCAATAAAATTTTCTTAATCGATCATCGGGAGAATTAACGATCGATAATAAGATTAATCATTAAAATTTTTTGTATTATAATGTATCATCATTATTATTACTATCTGCACTACTAATCTGTATAAATAAATTCAACTTTACGACATATAAACCGTAACGACTCTAGAGCCACATCAGCCCGTTTGACATTATAATGTCAAAACTCTCACAGAAACAAAACTTAAAACCGCATGACTCATTTGCATAAACTAAACGAAGAAAAAAAAAAACAGCTCTTGTGCACTGATGCGACATGACTCAGGTGAATACAGGTTAGTGTGACCATATTTGTGTTTGTCAAAACCAGGACAGCGTACGGGGGAGGGGGGCGGGGCCTCGTCATCCACATTGAGCGACTCTCACCTGGAAAAACTTTTTCCCACTGGACACAGAAACATATGTGCTGCTTTATCCACTGTGCACATGGACTCACACTTGTCCCAACGCAACGGAAAGTGTGGAATTTCTTGTACAAATCATCGTTAAATCCACATTTGTGCTTCGGTTCGTTACAGACTGACCCACTGTTTGTGTCTCGCTCCTTCTGATGCAGAGACACATGTACACACCTGTTTGGTCACGACACACACAGCAACATACATTCGATTTGTCAATTAAAATGAACGTTATCGATTAATCATGCCCATCCCTAGTCACGACATTTGAGTTTTCAGGTTGGACTAGCGGCGCCGATGAGTCAGACGCAGGTTATTATGTGACAAGCGCAGACACTGGCGTTTACGGGCGAGACGTGAGGACCCGCTCTCAGCCCCGCCCCCACCCGCACCGCCATGTCCCGCCGTGTCTGGAGAAAAGGGAAACGGCGTGATCCGAGAACAAATGTCTGCTCTGTTCCAAAATCCGGGAGCGCACCAGTCCACGCCGTGTCGGATTGGTGTGGCTGTCGGTCGGCTCCAGAGCCTCACACCTGCTCCCCCCAAACCCGCCGGGCACCACCCACTTTTTTTCAGATTAGGGAGGATGATTTATGGCTTTTTAAAAAACACAGTGGAGCTTTTGTGGAGTTTTTGTATTGCCACATGACATCACAAAGTGGAACAGAGTGTTTTCTGTTCAAGAGAAGAACCTAAATATGCAGCGTTTGTGTGTTAAACATGTGAATGAAACAAAAAAAAACACAACTCCAGGTCTGTTTGTGATGAGGAAACAACATTACAACACGATTCTAAGTTCAGTTTTTGCAAATACAAGTTTTTTTTTAATTCTTTTTGTTTAGTTTCGGCTTTGACTTGGACTCGTTTTGTGATCTGAATGCGCTGGTGAAAAGCTCTTGTGTTCCGTTGTTACACAAAAGTCTCTCATCTGTCGGCTCCGGTCTCTCTTCTTTCTCTTGCAGTGGTGTGAGCGGCAGGAGCAGTGCCGGAGGCTGCAGCTGCGTGACCTGCTGGTGGCGCCGTTACAGAGGCTCACCCGATACCCGCTTTTGTTGAGGAACATCGCGAAGAGGCTGCAGACGGAAGAGGAGATCCGAGGCCTCCAGTGTGTGGCGGAGCAAGTGGATACGGCCATCTGTAAGTTCCCTCTCTGTGTCTCTGTCTCTGTCTCTGTGTCTCTGTGTCTCTGTGTCTCTGTGTCTCTGTCTCTGTGTCTCTGTGTCTCTGTGTCTCTGTCTCTGTGTCTCTGTCTCTGTGTCTCTGTGTCTCTGTGTCTCTGTCTCTGTGTCTCTGTGTCTCTGTCTCTGTGTCTCTCTGTCTGTCTCTGTGTCTCTGTGTCTCTGTGTCTCTGTCTCTGTGTCTCTCTGTCTCTGTCTCTGTGTCTCTCTGTCTCTGTGTCTGTCTCTGTCTCTGTGTCTCTGTGTCTCTGTCTCTGTGTCTCTGTCTCTGTCTCTGTCTCTGTGTCTCTGTGTCTCTGTGTCTCTCTGTCTCTGTGTCTCTGTCTCTGTCTGTCTCTGTCTCTGTGTCTCTCTGTGTCTCTGTGTCTCTCTCTGTGTCTCTGTGTCTCTGTCTCTGTCTCTGTGTCTCTCTGTCTCTGTGTGTCTCTCTCTGTCTCTGTGTCTCTCTGTCTCTATGTGTCTCTCTGTCTCTGTGTGTCTCTCTCTGTCTCTGTGTCTCTCTGTGTCTGTCTCTGTGTCTCTGTGTCTCTCTCTGTGTCTCTGTGTCTGTCTCTGTCTCTGTGTCTCTGTCTCTGTCTCTGTCTCTCTGTCTCTGTCTCTGTGTCTCTCTGTGTCTCTGTCTCTGTCTCTCTGTGTCTCTGTGTCTCTGTGTCTCTCTGTCTCTGTGTCTCTCTCTCTGTGTCTCTGTCTCTGTGTCTCTGTGTCTCTCTCTCTGTGTCTCTCTGTCTCTGTCTCTGTCTCTCTGTCTCTGTGTCTCTCTCTGTGTCTCTCTGTCTCTCTGTGTCTCTCTGTGTCTCTCTGTGTCTCTCTGTGTCTCTGTCTCTCTGTGTCTCTGTGTCTCTGTGTCTCTCTGTGTCTCTGTGTCTCTGTCTCTGTCTGTCTCTCTCTGTCTCTGTGTCTCTGTCTCTCTGTCTCTGTGTCTCTGTGTCTCTGTGTCTCTGTGTCTCTGTCTCTGTGTCTCTCTCTCTGTGTCTCTGTCTCTGTGTCTCTGTGTCTCTGTCTCTGTGTCTCTCTCTCTGTGTCTCTGTGTCTCTGTCTCTGTGTCTCTGTGTCTCTCTGTGTCTGTCTCTGTGTCTCTCTCTGTGTCTCTCTGCTCTGTCTCTCTCTCTCTGTGTCTCTGTCTCTGTCTCTGTGTCTCTCTGTGTCTCTCTGTGTCTCTGTGTCTCTGTCTCTGTGTCTCTCTGTGTCTCTGTGTCTCTGTCTCTGTGTCTCTGTGTCTCTCTGTCTCTCTGTCTCTGTGTCTCTCTGTGTCTCTCTGTGTCTCTGTCTCTCTGTCTCTCTGTCTCTCTCTGTCTCTGTCTCTGTCTCTCTCTCTGTGTCTCTCTGTGTCTCTGTCTCTGTGTCTCTGTGTCTCTCTGTCTCTCTGTGTCTCTGTGTCTCTCTCTCTCTGTCTCTGTGTCTCTCTGTGTCTCTGTGTCTCTGTCTCTGTCTCTGTGTCTCTGTGTCTCTCTGTCTCTCTCTGTCTCTCTGTGTCTCTCTGTGTCTCTGTGTCTCTGTGTCTCTGTCTCTGTGTCTCTCTGTGTCTCTGTCTCTGTGTCTCTGTCTCTCTGTGTCTCTGTCTCTGTGTCTCTCTGTGTCTGTCTCTGTCTCTCTGTGTCTCTGTGTCTCTCTGTCTCTGTGTCTCTCTGTCTCTCTCTGTCTCTCTGTCTCTGTGTCTCTGTGTCTGTGTCTCTCTGGGGGGCGGAGCTCTTATCAGACTCTCGCTCTCTGTTAATGAAGAAAGACGTGGTCCTTCGGTCAAATGAGGCTGGCAGGTTTAGGAGCAAATTTGGGGCCACGTCCATATGAGGAAAAGAAATTTATTTACAGATGAAATAGTAAAATAAAAAACCGAGGATCATGTGTCGCGGGTTAATACGAACATTTAAGACCAAAATGGCGAGGCTCACAACAGCAGGAAGTACAAAGAGAGGGGAGAAAATAAATAAATAAAAAATTAATTAAATATGAATAAATAAATTTAATTGTAAATAAATTAAAATAAAATAAAAAAAATAAATAAAATATGAATAAATAAATTAAATAAATAAATAAATAAATAAAATAAATAGATAAATAAAAAAAAAAAATAAATTAAATATGAATAAAATAAAAATAAATAGATGGATAAATAAAAAATAAAAAGATACATTAAAATAAAATAAATAAATGAATGAATAAATGAGTGAATGAATGCTCTATTCATGGTTACGTCACAGTCCACGAAGACATTTGGAAACATGCGATGACAACGTCCGGCCAGGGTTCCCACGGTCATGGAAATCCTGGAAATCCTCAAAGTCATGAAATTTTAGTATCTCTTTCACACAGCTCCAGTGTTCTGTTACGTTCTCATGAGGCTGTTCTGATTATTTGTGAACGTCTGCGCCTTTTGTTTAAAAGAGACGACAATAAATGCACTGACAGGATTTAGAATGTTCAAAAACTATAATCCCAAACCATGAGGTGAGTGGAAAGAGTTAAACATTTCAGATTTAGACCTAAAATTCTCATCAGTTCTACACATGTAGGTGCTGTAAAGTCATGGAAAATTCACTTTAGGTCATGAAAAAGTCAAGGAAAAGTTTTGAAATTTTGTCAGTGAGTGGGAATGAGTCCGGCTGGCTCTGATTTTGGTCTTTAGAATGATCTTGATCTGTATCAGAACAAGTCAAGTTTATTTATATAGAGCTTTTCACAGACATACTGTCGGTCACAAAGTGCTTCACAAACAAAAGATAAAAAAACAGCATAAGATAATTTCATAACAACATCATCAACGTCACAGCAGCTCTAAACCTGAGGGGGAACAGTTACTCACATTTTTAGTCACTTTTTAAAAGCATCTACATGATCTTGAGTTTCCTGAAGGTGAGGAGGCAGTTTGTTCCAGAGTTTGCGGGAGACGATTTGAAAGGATCTGTCTCCTCGAGTTTTAAAGCTTGTCCACGGAACTATTAACCAGAGATGGGACCAAGTCGTTGTTTTGGAAGTCTCACCTCGAGTCTTGAGTCACTGGCCCATAAGTCCAAGTCAAGTCCAAGTCGCCTGCTTTGAGCTTCAAGTCATTTCAAGTCTTTAAACCAAATATAGCTTAGATTTTTGCAATTTTAATAAGCAAGTCTTTATTTATATAACACTTTTCACTGACATATGTCACAAAGATGCTTTACAGAGCATTATTCAGCGTTATTCATTCACTGCACACCTGGTGGTGGTAAAGCTACTATTGAAGCCACAGCTGCCCTGGGGCTGACTGATGGAGGTGCGGCTACCATCACTCACACACACTCCACGTTCATACATAATTTATATGAATTTTAAACTAAACTTGTACTTAAAAAGTCATAGTATATTTATAGGTGAGTATTTATAGATGATATACGAGTTGTGGAAATGCAAACTTTTTCTTTTTAAATGTTTTGACAAGATCTGAGAGTGAATCATTACGGTCAGAACAGAAAGAATTCAGATTTAAAAGTGCTTCTCAAGTCACAGGCCTCAAGTCCAAGTCGAGTCCAAAGTCTTAGTCCGTTTTCTCAAGTCAAGTCTCAAGTCCTAAAGACAGTGACTCAAGTCTGACTCGAGTCCAAGTTATGGCTCACAAGTCCCACCACAGCTATTAGCACATTTTAGCTGGTAGACGTCAGGCTGCAGGCCGAGGTGTATAGAAGTATAAGAACACAGACTAATGTACGCCCATGGACCTGGTTTAGACCTGGTTTAGACCTGGTTTAGACCTGGTTTAGACCTGGTTTAGACCTGGACCACTGAGAATTTCACAGATATAAAGACACATGGGAGTAGAAAAAAAAGTTCTACCATTTAATGTGGAAAATCATGAAAATTTTTGTCTAAAGAAAGAGTTGTTTTTTTTTAAATATCATCATATTAAAGTCGAGTTTGAAATGTGAGTATGGTGACAGCTCTAGTCCACACTGATTGATCTGAGCATTTGTCAGTGTTTTATAAACAGATTAAACCCTGTAAATCTTCTGAAATCTGCTGAAATCTCTTTAACAGTCAAAGAATTGTTCTCAGGTGACAGTAACGTTACTTAAAAATAATATTCGTCAAGTAGAAGTACAAAGTCAGAGGCCCAAGAAATCAGCTCAGAGTAAAAAACATTTTGGATATATATTTTAAGTGACCTGAGTGCTTTACAAACAGATTAAACGCTTCAAATGTGAGGAAGTGGAGTTATCTGAGGACAAAGAGAAGAGACTAGTTTAAAGCCTTCTGTCTCACGCTCCGGTGCACAGTCATGTTTGTTTTCCCTTTTGTCCTGTTCTGGCAGGTCACTCGAACCAGACGGACAGGTGCAGGCGCAGGTGCAGGTGCAGGTGAAATCACTTTGTTATCATTAAACGAGCTCTGCCTGATCAGGTTTCCACGGCGCACTTTACCCCGTACAGTGTCCAGGTCCGGCGTGGGCAGGAGCGCGGGTATTTAGCCACACTTTATCACTTTATGGAGGAAAAATGACGTCTGTGATCCGGAAATCCTTTATCATTAAATCAACAACAACGTTTAAAGTTCAGATTTGGGCTTTTAGATTCAGTGCTGTAGTTTTAAGTGTGTGTTTTAAGTGTTTTTAAGTATGTGCCGATACGTGACGGGGTTTAGGTTTGATTAGGAAAGGAGTGATGATTGGGAATGTCGGGATAAGTTTCCAGGGAATGAACCTGTTCAAAAGTGCCTTTAAATAAAAGCACAGGGTTTCCAGAGTCATGGAAATCCTGGAAAAGTCATGGAATTTTAGTATCTCTTTCACAAGTTCTTATTAGACTATTATGACTATTTGTGAACATCTGCGCTTTTTGTTTAAAAGAGACGACAATAAATGCACTGACAGGATTTTGAATGTTAAAAAAACTATAATCCCAAACCATAAAGTGAGTGGAAAGAGTTAAACATTTCAGATTTGGACCTAAAAATCTGATCAATTCTACACATGTAGGTGCTGTAAAGTCTTGGAAA